TTGCTAAACGTGGCTCATACAGGAGTCCACTCAGCCCTCTCTTCCCCACGCTCCTGATCACTGCGTCGGCGTCACGAAGAACAATAGGCCTTGGGCCGCCTTGGGTCCCAACGCGGCCGATACCCGTACCCCAATTACTCACGCTTCATTAACCATTTCACCGTCACGCTAGGATTCATCCAATTTTCAAAAAAAATTGTTTCGCGTGTATTTAGCAATTTTTTCCTTACTCTCCGTTAAACCACAAATAAAAAGAGACCTCATTCATAAAAATCGGCCGAATAGAAGAGAAGTTACAGTAATCGAAATCCGAAGAAATCAACAAAACCTCGACTTCTCGATACGAAAAATAAAATGAAGGGGAAAAAAAGAAAGTATAAATTACAATTAAATATAATTGACCTCAGAATTTGACAAGCAATTTATACATATACCTAACGCTGAAAAAACTGGGAGAAATTACAAAAAATTCGCCTCTTGCAAGGGGCTTCTTGTAAGAATTTTGACCTGAAGACAACGGTCGAATAACAGCAGTACTCCATACAATACACGGTGTGCCTGAACGAGTTAAACATTTTTTATACGTCCAAATCGAAAAATCTTTATATTTTTAACTAAAATGTCTCTTGAATCGTTTAAGCCAAAAAAAAAAAAATTCCGTCGAGATTCTGGAACGTAAAGGCGCTTTAAAAGTATTCTGGGGCTATAATAGCTAAATCACCGGTAGTAAATCACGTTATATTATTAAAAAGAAATTTACTCCATAGTTTAATTCCTTAGTTTCTTGAATACGATTATTTTAAGCACTTAAACATTTATACCACCAATTTTAGCCATGGGGTCATTTCCTGAGAGCCGATAATACCACGAATTTCTCATAGAACCCGTTAACAGTGGCTTGCTTTTTTGGCAGCCGATTCGGCCATCGAACCGGAGTTTAAATGGAAGCTGATAATAACCCAAAGCTCTGAGAAAAATTTTGAGATGAGTATAAGAACGGTTTGTTGTAAGTAAAGAGGAGAGGCGGGCAAAGCGGCTAAAATCCGATCTAATTTTTAAGTTTTTCTGTTGAATTAATGTTGCCGCGGGCTTCTGACTGTGTCAACACATAGTTTCTGTTCAGCATATCGATACATAAGTATTTACACACGTATAATCTAATTTTCACGTCGGGGAGTCGACATATTTTGAATTTTTCGATTTTATACGGAAAATTGATGGTTTTTCAGGATTGAAATTATTATTGTTTCATGAAAAATACATGCACCCAAAATGACTATAGCATATTGATTTTTGCACATTTGCACTCACGAAATTGGTTGGTAAATTCAACGAGTGGGTGCGTCGACCTGGTATATCAAGTTTCTGTAATTTTTTACGGCAAATCAGTAGATTTTCGGGATGTAGATTGCTTACTTTCAATTCATGAATGAATAAAGCAACGACATGGTTGAACTTCTTTGCATGGAAAGACGTTTAAAATAACAAAATCAAGACGTATTTAATGCAATTGCATTTATATCGAGTCAATTTCTTTTCAATAATATAACGGGATTTATAGGTACTACCGGTGATTTGGGTATTTTAGCCCCAAAATACCTTTAAATCGACTTTATCTTCTAGGAGTTCGACAGAATTTTTCCTTTCTTCGCTTAAATTATTCCGTAGCACTTTTCTTCAAGAATCTGATAAGATTTTGCTTAAGGCAGATCAAAAAACTTAAATTCGATCGAATAACTTTCTACTTTCACAATACACGGTCTCGTCAAGGTGCGTCTTTGACCTCGCAGTGTTGGATCGTGAATTTTCTTGTTGTGCTGTTTGCCTATTTTGAAATCTCTGTAAATGAAAACTAAAGGGGTTGATATGTGCGAGTTAATGACGCGCCTTATCAACACATTGTGTTGGAGTTCACTGCTTGTTTTTTCTTTTTTTTTATTAGTTACAAGTGAGCTTTCATATGAAAATACACACTTTGTTTTGAACTAAAATAAAGAGAAAATACAAACAACAGAGCAGTTTGTAACTTATTTACATATTAGGTACTATTTCGGTGCGTTTAGGTTGATTGTTAATTCGAGTTCCTATGATTTAGTTTTATTTCTTACCGCGCTTGTTTATTTTTAATTCTTCTTTAAAAGAGCGACGCCAAAAACGGCCGTTTTTTGGCACAATTTGGGCCAGAAGGGATTTTTCTGAAACCGGGCCCAAACGATACCTTATGATACCCTAAAACTCTGGTAAAAATTTTAGCTTGAGTATACGCACGGTTTTTGAGAAATGAGGGGGCAAAGTTGCCAAATCGCCATCATTCTGGACAGCATTTCTACAGCAAAAAGATGGGGAAAATGGACGAAAAAGTTACACCTTTGATGGGTTTCGGCTGTAAATGTTCTCATTGGGCCCCCAAGCATTTAACTGTGTTCAGTTTCAAAAATTTTGGTCGCACAGTGGTCTAAAATGGGGGGAAATCGTCGACAAATCAGGATTCTTTGTCAAAATTTTAGAAATGGAAGTAAAATTGTCGGTCCGCTGCAGTTTTCATGGCTAACAATGTTCGTATCGGTCATCAATGCATGAAATTGTGTTCAACTTCACAAATTTACATCGCACAGTGGTCGAAAATGGGGGAATTAGTGGACAAATTAAGATCTTCTGTCAAACTTTTTAAAAATGAAGTGAAACTGTTGGTCCCCGGTAGAGTTTAGATCCCGGAAAAATTCTTTCAATTCTTTTTTTGACTATTTAAGTCTTTTTTTAATTTTTTCTCGCCATTTTTCCTTCTTTTTTTTAAATTTCTGAAAGTTTGCATATCTTATTGAGATAATGCTACAAAGTCTATTCTATGACAAAGTTCTATAAACAATACGGTCTGACATGTAGTAATAATTATAAAAATATTAAAATCATGAATTTTTCCGGGATCTAAACTCTACCGGGGACCAACAGTTTCACTTCATTTTTAAAAAGTTTGACAGAAGATCTTAATTTGTCCACTAATTCCCCCATTTTCGACCACTGTGCGATGTAAATTTGTGAAGTTGAACACAATTTCATGCATTGATGACCGATACGAACATTGTTAGCCATGAAAACTGCAGCAGACCGACAATTTTACTTCCATTTCTAAAATTTTGACAAAGAATCCTGATTTGTCGACGATTTCCCCCCATTTTAGACCACTGTGCGACCAAAATTTTTGAAACTGAACACAGTTAAATGCTTGGGGGCCCAATGAGAACATTTACAGCCGAAACCCATCAAAGGTGTAACTTTTTCGTCCATTTTCCCCATCTTTTTGCTGTAGAAATGCTGTCCAGAATGATGGCGATTTGGCAACTTTGCCCCCTCATTTCTCAAAAACCGTGCGTATACTCAAGCTAAAATTTTTACCAGAGTTTTAAGGTATCATAAGGTATCGTTTGGGCCCGGTTTCAGAAAAATCCCTTCTGGCCCAAATTGTGCCATTCTTGGCGTCGCTCTTTATTATTTGCTTAACACAAGCCTAGCTTGAACACTATCAGACTTTGCGGTCAAAAGTGCAACAACTGTTAAAGAAAACTGATAAGGCCGCAGCGTGGAGGCTGCTTTAATATTAATATTCCATCGCATTGCTAAGGCGCAATGATACAACTATTCGTACTCTCCGGAAAGCGTGAGGTATCACGCCACATTTGAAGGCGTTTTCGAAACTGCCAATTTTCCAAACCAGAAATTTTGCGTCGCATGGATAGGCGTCAACCAAAACTGGCCGGCAAATATTAAGTACTTTTCCAGCCCTTCTTCAGTACATTTACTAGAAATTCAGTTCCTCAAAAGCAGAATGAATACAGTACTTTTTCGAAGCCTTTAAGTTGATTGTTAATTGAGTTCATATTATTTAGTTATATTTCTTCCTGCGCTTGTTTATTTTGAATCCTTCTAAAATATTATTTTTTCACTAAATACAAGCCTACCTTGAGCACACTTAAACTTTGCGGTCAAAAATGCAACAGCGGTGAAGGAATACTGACCAGGCGGCAGCGTGGAGGCTGCTTTAATATTAATATTCCATCGCATTGCTAAGGCGCAATGATACAACTATTCGTACTCTCCGGAACGCGTGGGGTATCACGCCACATTTGAAGGCGTTCTTGAAACTGCCAAAGTTTCATATTGGGATTCTTTTGTCTCATAGATAGGCGTCTAATAAAACTGGCCGGCAAATATCAAGCACTTTCGCAGCCCTTCTTCAGTGCAATTTCAAAAAATTCAGTACCTCAAAAGCAGGAAAAATTCAGTAGGTATATAAAATTAATTAAAATTAACGGTTCAGACAGAGGGGCTAGCCAGTTCCCGCGGTTTTACCCTTTTGAGGCGTCTGTATTCGTTGGAGTTGTCTAATAATTGAATTTCCTCAATATTTGGGTGGTGATGGAGACGTTTCTCGTAGTTCGTAGCGACTTTGGTTATAAATTGTGAGACTTCCTCCATACCAAGATCTCTATGAATGTCAGAATTTCTTTAATACCATCGTGCTCCGACTGTCTGTCTAAGGGCCCACTGAAAAAAAAGGATTGGTAATTCACCGATTTAGGGTGGAGCAAAATTTGCTTCACTTCGTAAAGCCTTTTAATCCTTGCACGGTGTTGAATCAAGTGAACGACTATAGCACGAATTGCTACACCGATTTGCTACATCTGCAATCTGCATCTGCCTTCATGCAGTTAATCTTGCATCGAGTGGCTTGGAAGTGTAACTGCATTTTTTGGTATTGATACTTTGCGAACAGTAAAAATAGCTCAATAGTTAGGCTGAAATAGCGGAATTTACGGAAAAATAGCGAAATTTACGGAAGAATAACTAAAAAGGTAACAGACGTAGCTTTTCAGAGAGCAAAATCACCCACACAAGTATGTATAAGTTAGCTGAAATTTGTGTAGCGATTTTACCTGCACGGTTTGCACGTTATCCGTTTTTTAGCTACACCATGCCATGAAATACCCGCGTGCACGGCAATTTCAGCAATATTTTTTTTTCAGTGCCCCGATTTTGGAATCTTTGTAAAGTGAATTACCTTCGTAATGATTATGCGAGTAGGAGATTCCCTGCGGTTGACTCAGAAACGCCGCCAGCTTGACTTCATCGCTGGGTCCCCCTATACTCCACTTTTCCAGATTCCCGTCGAAGATGGCGCCATACACGGAGAGGAAGAGAGAGATATCTAAGCCCATTCCGAAAACCTTGTTTGTCGCTTCGGTGAATTGCCGAATGGTAGCCACGCCGTTGTGCGGGAGGTAGTTGTGATTGGCTAAGGCGTTTAACCCGGGGCACGGGCCCCTTTGGTCCCCTGGGCCGGGGGGCACAAATTCGTGGAGGCCTGAGACGTCGATCCTCTGTAAGGCTGGATCGAATCCAGGTGCAATAATGGGTAGTTGCCGCTTGCGGCGAGACGGTTCGAGCTTGGCCTTTAGTTCCTGGATTATGTCCATGGAAGCTGCGACTCGATCGTTAATCAGGAACAGCATCGCGAGAGCGATGAAAGCTACTATTTTGATAGAAATCAAGACACCATTGACGACTCACGACTTCTAAGAATACAAACTGATGTCGGCTGTAATAAAAAATATCATCAAGTGTAACAGTAAGGGCTGTGTTCTTGTGTAAAAAAGCTCATTTTTTAAGCAGCATTTTATTCAACTCTTTTTCCGCTATCCCAATCTGGGCTGAGTCTAATCAAACCGAGCAGTGGGCTAATTGTTGAATTGATAGACAGATCAATAGACAAAGAAGACAAAAGGAGTATGAAGCAATCCTAATGGTTGAAATGGGTGATTCTGATAGACTGAGGGAGAAAATGATGGACTAACTATATGGTCTCTCGTGGATTGCTTAGACTAAACTTAGACTAACTTATTTAGTTCACTAGAACCTCCCAGAAATTATGAATTTTTTTTTTTTTTTTTTTTTTTTTTTTTTTTTTTAGAGAGATTGTTATCACAATACTTCCTCTAGCCGCAAGGGGGGATAGAAAGTAAAAGGTCGATATTGATAGTGAATATTGAAGAAAAATATGCATGTGGTCGGCTTACCGGAATAGTTAGTTAGTTAGTTAGTTAGTATATTTTGAGACTTTCAGCGTCACCGGCTATTAACGTCTTTACAGAGAATTTTGAAAATGGGAAAATATAGGAAAATTTAGATTTTTAAATTAAGAGAGGTGAAGATTTCAAGAATTTTGGTAGTAATATTGGGATCGTCGCATGCAAGTACGGGTTTGTATTTCTGATGATTATTCGATGGAAAACTTGTCACATACTTATACTTACTTGAATGCTTGCTCGTGAAAGTTCAAAGGGAGTAGATGTGCTGCCAGAACTGCGTCAAGTTGGCTGAAGTTGTTATTTCATGATTTTTGTTTTATTTTTCCTCATGAGTCAAAAACAGTTCGTGTATAAAATGACTTTGGTTGAGCACCGTAATAATCATAGGAACACGTCTCTGACCACACTGCTTCGCTGAGAATTCGCTGCAGATAAGTTTCGTTTCCATTGCGAAAACCCGACGAATAACATATAGACATTTTTTCTCTTTCTCTCTTATAAAATTAGTAATGCATTGACGATTCAACCTTCTGATGAAATTGCCTTACCACTAGAAGTTGACGGTGAATCTACCGGACCACGTATCTCATTTGCGGTGTCCAAAAAGCTCCGTTTCCATTTGATTTTTTCAAAGAGAACAAATTACACGGAGCTTTCTTCTCTCAGAGAAGAAAATTCACCAAGATTTTCAAGAATCGATGTTGAGTAGTTTTTCTTTTAAAAAATAAAGTATGACAGGAAGTCTGTAACGTCGCAAACTGAAGTAAGTGGTTCGCTGGTTTCACCGTTAAAATATATCCATCTTAACTGGCCGTGTAAGCAAAAAGCGGAGGTGCTCCTTTCCATCGGGGGAGTTTGATTTTTGTGAGCCCTAGATAACTGCAGAATTCCGAGACTAAGCGCCCTCAAATTCATTACCACGATATACTCGTAATACACCCAGAATTTTTCACCCTCAATTCCTTCCCCACAGCATTTAGACCCATCAGGCACCAGCATGCACTTTTGCATACATGACTTTTTGCGGAGAAGGAGCTTTCTTCTGCATGTATTTTACACTAAACACTACCTGTGAATGCCGTAGGTGAGGTCGAGTAGGCGTCAACCAAAACTGGCCGGCAAGTATTAAGCACTTTTGCAGCCCTTCCTCAGTACATGAACTAAAAATTTAGATCCTTAAAAGCAGAAAGAATGCAGTACTTTTCCAATGCCCTTTAAGTTGATTGTTAAATGGAGTTCATATTATTTAGTTATATTTCTTCCTGCGCTTGATTATTTTTTATCCTTCTAAAAGTTGATCGAATTGCTTATTAAGAGCCTAGCTTGAACACTTTTAGTCCTCGCGGTCAAAACTGCAACGGCGGTAAAGGAACACAGACAGGGCCGCAGCGTGGAGGCTATTGCTAAGGCGCAATGATACAACTATACGTACTCTCCGGAACGCGTGAGGTATTGCGCCACATTTGAAGGCGTTTTCGAAACTGGCAACTTTCCAAATCAGCAGCCTTGCGTCGCATTGATAGGCGTCAACCAAAACTGGCCAGGAAGTATTAAGCACTTTTCCAGCCCTTCTTCAGTACATGTACTATAATTTCAGTTCCTCAAAAGCAGAAATAATGCAGTTTTTTTTCGATGCCCTCTAAGTTGATTGTTAAATGGAGTTCATATTATTTACTTATACTTCTTCCTGCGCTTGTTTATTTTTAATCCATCTAAAATAATATCTTTTCACTACATATAAGCCTACCTTGAGCACACTTAAACATTGCGGTCAATACTGCAACAGCGGGAAAGGAATACTGACAGGGCCGCAGCGTGGAGGCTGATTTAATATCAATCTTCCATCGCATTGCTAAAGCGCAATGATACAACTATACGTACTCTCCGGAACGCTTCAGGTATCACGCCACATCTGAAGGCGTTTTCGAAACTGCCAACTTTCCAAATCAGCAACCTTGCGTCGCATTGATTGGCGTCAACCAAAACTGGCCAGCAAGTATTCAGCACTTTTCAGGCCCTTCTTCAACCATGTAATAAAAATTCAGTTCCTCAAAAGCAGAAAGAATGCAGTACTTTTTCTATGCCCTTTAAGTTGATTGTTAAATTGAGTTCATATTATTTAGTAATATTTTTTTCCTATGCTTTTTTTTTCCTTCTAAAAATTGATCGAATTGCGTAATGTAAGCCTAGCTTAAACACTTTTAGTCCTCCCGGTCAAAACTGCAAAAGCGGTACAGGAACACTGACAGGGTCGCAGCGAGGCTGATTTCATATCAATCTTCCATCGGATTGCTAAGGCGCAATGATACAACTATACGTACTCTCCGGAACGCTTCAGGTATCACGCCACATTTGAAGGCGTTTTAGAAACTGGCAAGTTTCCAAATCAGCAACCTTGCGTCTCATTGATAGGCGTGAACCAAAACTGGCCGGCAAATATTTAGCACTTTTGCAGCCCTTCTTCAGTACATGTACTATAAATTCAGTTCCTCAAAAGCAGAAAGAATGCAGTACTTTTTTGATGCCCTTTCAGTTGATTGTTAAATTGAGTTCATATTATTTAGTAATATTTTTTCCTGTGCTTGATTTTTTTTAATCCTTCTAAAAATTGATCGAATTGCGTCGTATAAGCCTAGCTTGAACTCTTTTAGTCCTCGCGGGCAAATCTGCAACAGCGGTAAAGGAACACTGACAGGGCCGCAGCGTGGAGGCTGATTTCATATCAATCTTCCATCGCATTGCTAAGGAGCAATGATACAACTATACGTACTCTCCGGAAAGCGTAAGGTATCACGCCACATTTGAAGGCGTTTTCGAAACTGGCAACTTTCTAAATCAGCAACCTTGCGTCGCATTGATAGGCGTCAACCAAAACTGGCCAGCAAGTATTAAGCACTTTTGCATCCCTTCCTCAGTACATGAACTAAAAATTTAGTTCCTCAAAAGCGGAAAGAATGCAGTACTTTTTCGATGCCTTTTACGTTGATTGTTAAATTGTGTTCATATTATTTAGTAATATTCTTTCCTGCGCATGATTATTTTTAATCCTTCAAAAAATTGATCGGATTGCTTAATATAAGCCTAGCTTGAACACTTTTAGTCCTCGCGGTCAAAACTGCAACAGCGGTACAGGAACACTGACAGGGCCGCAGCGTGGAGGTTGATTTAATATCAATCTTCCATCGCATTGCTAAGGCGCAATGATACAACTATACGTACTCTCCGGAAAGCGTGAGGTATCATGCCACATTTGAAGGCGTTTTCGAAACTGGCAACTTTCTAAATCAGCAACCTTGCGTCTCATTGATAGGTGTCATCCAAAACTGACCGGCAAGTATTAAGCACTTTTGCATTCCTTCCTCAGTACATGAACTAAAAATTTAGTTCCTCAAAAGCGGAAAGAATGCATTACTTTTTCGATGCCCTTTAAGTTAATCGTTAAATTGAGTTTATATTATATACTTATATTTCTTCCTGCGCTTGTTTATTTTTAATCCTTCTAAAATAATATCTTTTCACCAAATACAAGCCTACCTCGAGCACACTTACTAGGCACTCCAGATTCTAGTCATTCAGGTATGATCGAGTGGACAGTGCTCAACTGTAACATTTGCTACGTACAAAGTAGTGGGTGGGGGGGGGGGTCATGTCCTCCATGCATACATACCAAACACATTTTTTATAGCAGATTCGCAGTCTTTTTCATCAACTATTTTGCAGTCTTTATAAGTCGCCATCTTGAAACTGCTTCTTCTGGATTGAATTGCCATGCTGCTAGGCCCCGGAAGGTGGCAGCAACCTGTATTCGTGTTTCTCCTCCTAAATTCGTTGCCGAACTTCAAACTTTGCCGCCCTACGTGCGGCCACGCGTACTGACGCCTACAAACCTAAAGGGATACTTCAAGCATTGCGAAATGCGTGTAGTAGCCCCTTAGGTTTGTAGGCGTCAATGCGCGTTTTGCGCTGGCAGCACGCGATTGATTTCCGCATTCAGTAAAGTGAGACAGGGGGAGAGCTGATATTTTCCTTCATATTCGTATGATACCACATCACATACACGGGAAGCAGTTCGAATAGTTTCGAACTTACGAACTTGATTTCCACAATTAACGATGCGAGCATAATGCCTATACTGCCGTGCTAAGGGAGATTGCCGTGTGGAGATTCGAGAGTTGCCAAATTTCCCTGGATAAAACATGCATTTTTGACGAAATATAGGCATATTTTCCCTTACAATTTTCAGATATTTTCGATTAAATTTTGTACATAATTTTCTGAACATTTTGGTGGAAAATATTTACAATTTTCCTAGTAAATTCGGTTTTTATTGAAGGAAATTTTTGCAACGTCTGAAAGGCCCATACGGCGTTCTTCCTTAGCACGGCAGTACATTCATAACGGCATAACGCACATTCAGTAAAATGAGACAGGTGGAAACCTAAGATTCTCCTTCATATTGGAATGATACCACATGACATACATGCCCAAGTTCGAATGCATCGCGCTTGAATTCCGACTTTAACGATGCGAGCACAATGCCTACATTCGTAACGTAACGTAACGTCAGTAAAATGAGACAGGTGGAGACTTAAGAATCTCCTTCATATTGGCATGATACCACATCACATACCTGCCCGAGTTCGATTAGTTCCGCGCTTGATTTCCGCATTGAACGATGCGAGGTCAAAGCCCATAATCATACACGTCATTAATTTGAGACAGGTAAAGAGCTGATATTCTCCTTCATTTCCGCGTGATACCGCATCACATAAATACTCCGGAGTTTGAATAGCTGCGGTATTTCATGGGCGGGAATAGGGGGGCGGCGGGGGCTTCACCAAAAAATGTCATAGATCCAATCTATAATTAATTCCGAGAAATCAGGCATAGGAAATGTAATCAATATTAGCTCCATCCTAATTTAATCGATCAAAAATTTCAGAAAATGAATATTTCTCCCAACAGGATCAGTTTCCGTTTATATTCAGCGATAACGATTAAGGAACGTGGATAATGCAGTTTGACCAGTATCCTTGGGAGTCCCCGCAAACCCCGTCAGCCCCAGTTCGATATCATTCCGTGCATGCTCCTCGCAGAAAAATCCCTGTTTCTGCCCGTGCGCGCTTAATTTCCTTATTTGGAATTGGACCACATTTTGAAATAAGGAGCCACTATTTCTGCCTCATTTTAGAAACAGCATATACACCATTGGTTTCCCTATGCAGAAAGGTGCTTTTATGGAAAAGCCAGAGATGTAGCCTTATTTCAGAATGCACTCCATTTAACGATGCGAGCTTATGCCCCTACAATCATAAACGTCAGTGAGATTGCTTTTTGGGGAAAGGAACCAGGAGCATTACAATGTCGCTTAGATTGTGAAACTTATTCTTTATCCTGCTAATATAAAATAATCATCTACACAAGCAGTTTTATCTTCACTCTCCATAAACCATGTATTCAAGACGAAAATTACCTATTTATTTATTTATTCATTATTACAAAACAGTATTACAAAAATATACATATTTAAACTAGCAAGACCCTCCTGCAAGCAATGCTGCTTGCGTGATTTATTTTTGATTGATTTGATCTTTTTCATTAATTATTTCAGTAATTTTATTGCAAAGAATAAGGAGAATGTATATGTTGCACAATCCTAGCAAAATTGGAATGCTCATGGTTCCTGTTTGCAAAATGCAATCCAGTAATTCGAGACAGGTGAAAGGCTAAGATTTTCCTTCATTTGCGCTTGATACGACATCACATACCTACTCCGACGGCCGCGGCCTGAGCAGCACATTTTGGAAGACCCAAAAAACAAAAATAGGGCGCCACCGCCGGTCTTCCATTACACGCTTCAATTATTCGTTCCGGAAACTGTTGCTCGAAAACACGCGGTGCGGGGATTAAATCTAAAGAATTGAAAATGGGTGCTTGAGACTGACAGAGCACAGGAAAGAATTTCATGAGCCGCCCTGCGCCTCGCCGTCCGCAGCGCGCATGGCGCACGACCCGCCTTTCATTATTACCCACACTTCATCTAGCGTTGAGAGTTCACTAATTACTTCACACGACCAGTGTGTAATTTTAAAAGTCGAAAATTAAAAAAAAAGAAAGAAAATTACACGATAAACGAGTTTCTCCGCCAGGGAGCTCTCCCCGCAAGAAATCGTTCATCTCCCGCCCGTCGGGAGAGCCGCGGCGTGCGGCCAGCGCAAAACGCGCTCAGACGCCTGCAAACCTAAGGGGCTACTTCACGCAATGCGCAATGCTTGAAGTATCCCTTTAGGTTTGTAGGCATCAGTGCGCGTTCCGAGCTGGCATCGCGCCGAGCCGCAGCGTGCTATAAACTTGCCCACAATTAAGAGGTCATGATGTTAAAATGTAGACAATTTGACATCAAATTCGAAATTCGCACCTCAAAATACACCAGTTACGCACCTTTACGTGGTCTCTCTGTCATTATCCGACTTATTTCTTCCTATTTTTGAGTTTTGGACCATAGTGCGCCGCGGGCGGCGGTACTCATGAAATTCTCCTCTGTACTTGCAACCATACTGCCGGCCATTTAAACAGAGGGAGATGAAATTTCATGAAAAATAAAACCTTAATATTTCACGTGAAATATTTCACGAAATTTCAGAAAGTTATGAAAAATATCCGTTCATTTTCATGTTTCGCAAAATGTAAAAATTGTGACTTCCTTCTAGTTTTGTGTGTTTGAGTACGGGTTGTATACTCTAACCCCAGAAAAATATGAAATATTTCACAGCCTTTTGAAATTTCATGAAATATTTCACTGAAATTTCCAATCTTTCATTTCTTTCTTACATTTCACGCCACACTGCATTTAAATGACCCGCGATTCACCTCGTCTGCCTTGGTAACACCGGCAACATCCAACACCCAACGTTTCTTTGTTTTGTTTACGTTTTGTTTTCTTTCTTATCATTGATATCATATCAGTTGCGTGGTTGCAGGATCAGCATTAGCTCTTCGGTGCGGTTGCAGCTGTGGTTGAACGAAAATAGTACATTGTGCACTTTTCCTGTGACTAATCTTTGATGATCTCATCACGTTTACACGTGCAAATCCTTCGTGATCCAATCCTATGCGCTGGCTTTTCACTCGGACCGTATTTCAGACCAACCTCGTTGTGCCAATACCATCTACTCATACCTGGCCATGGGTTTGAGGTTAAATGTTCGTAACTCCCGAGAATACACGGGATTGTATAGGGCGAACTTACAAAAATTGATTCTTTTTACATAAAAAGTGCTTGAATGCGGGGAAAAAAATTTGTTACGAAGGCTCTTAGCAAGGTAGACCGATTGAGCTAAATATATGCGACCGAATTGCGTTTTAATGGAAGAAAAAAAATATTTAATAATGGTGGTGGAGTCATATGGGGAATACAAGGCAAGTGATCATCCACAAGATTTGGTTCGTGAAGCGAGATGTCTTCCTGACGCTGAGTGATGCTAGTTTAGGTCCCAACCGCAAAGTAGCGAGTAAAATAGACTCCTAAATACATGCCCCTTTGAGAAAAATTGGTTTTTTCACCTTATTTTGGTGCAAGTTAGTATTTATTTGAAGGAGGGGGGGGGAGACCACTTCAACTCTTATGATTTAAAGGTAGAAATTTTATTTTGTAACACATTTTGTTACATTCCATTCAAGAAAAATTTAGAATGGGTAGAGATAAAGAAGCTGAATATAAGAGTATCTCTTGGATTCGCTAGAAGAACTATAATGTCTATGTAGAACCCCAGAGCCGTTAAGCAACTTTTTGGGGTGTTGTCCTTTACTAAGACCTGACAATTTGCACATTTTACCTTAAACTTCATGATTCCATAAGTCCTGACACCAAAATAATGAGAAAAACTAAAATAATTCACATTTCCACGTGATGTTGAAGTGGAGCTCGATGAAGAGACGACCGTTTGCGCTATGGCCGCTATGTCTACGTCGGGAGCTATTACTCACACACTCTCACACGTATTCTCCAATGGCCAGGTATGGTGCGCTACCGTCACACACCGGGTATGTACCTAAAGCTTTAGTCAATTTAAAATTGGTTCCTGTGTCTAAGTTTTCCCCTCCAGTTCTTTCTACAATGGCTAGCGGAAATGCTATTTGCATCGTGTGTCAGAAAGGAAACTCAAAGCTTTGTGGTCAATGCCAAGGTGTATCTTACTGCTCCAGGGCTTGTCAGAAGAAAGAGTGGCGGGCTCACAAGCTTTTCTGCAAAGAATACTCCGCCTTCAAAGCTACGAAGCGCCCTTCCCAAAAACATTTTCTTGCTATTCTTTTTCCAGTTAATGACAGTGAACCTAAAGGTGTTTGGGTTAAGAAAGGCGAGTTTTATACTCCAGATGTTAAGTCATTACTTGGAGGTAATATGCCAATTGGACGTTCCCCTATTCAGTTTAATCCAGTGGTCAATAGACAACTACCCGATTCAATTTATATCTGCTATCGCGATGAATTTCTGTTTGACGGGTCTGAACCTAATAAATGTATTGCAAGCATTACTGCCCTAAGGCCTGGAGCATACACTCAGTGGCTAGGCCCGATCATAGCATATGGGATGGTAGGACATGCCATGGATCCTAGGGTGATTCGAGACCTCACCATGGCTGATTTCAAACACATCACGGACTACTTCATATCATACAGATATGGCACACAGGTATCTCTTGTGAAAGGTGTCAGAATCAACTGTGATGGTGATCGAGAACTGTGTAAGAGACCACCTTTTGAGGCTGTGGAAGTATCGCCGGATATCTTATTTTCTGATCAAGACACCTCTAGCATCGCAGAGCGCATGGGTCTGCCTATCTTTGTAAGGAAGTACTCTCCAGATCCCAAGTGGGAAGCAGACCCGTCCGCGTATGGCAATTCAAATGCAACGTTACTACACATGTGCTGTGATCCAAAATCGGAATGGTGGGGATGGGCTCCTTTGCACTGGCGAACCCAAGTTGGAAGTGTTTTTGTAATTCGTCAAGATAAAAAACCTCTGCTACCATTGCATGTTGAAGCACTATGTCACTATTGCTGTGAATTTTTACAGACTGCGTTTGAGGATTCTCTAGGAGGAAGTGGCCCGGAGAATGAGCCCAGCAAGGAACATGTTTTGTCAATGATAAATAAATCAGAATTCCTCTATCAATGGGGTAATTTTTTGAGTGAACGTAATTGTAAAGATGTCCCCAGTCCCTATGACATTTCCTAATTTATCTGCTAATGTGGAACACACTTTAAGGCCCTCAGCTGAGTACTCTTCCTATAGTCATTTTTTTTACATGAAATTATCCCTGAGATGCATGAGATATTTTCAAGTTTTCCAAATCTAAATTTGTTCCTATGTTAAAAGAGTTCAGTAACTTGGATATCAGGAAAAATGCATGTTGTCTGAAAATGGGCAAGTTAGAAGTAAGTACTAAGGATTCAAGACCAAACAAATATCTGACTATTGTTTCTGTACTTTTTCAGTACGTATGTTTCTCCTTAGTTACTGTATTTGGTTCTCAAGGTTGTGTTCGGCTCATGAAATTTTTCTTTTGTAATAATTTTATCGAACTAACGATAACAATGTTGTACTTTTTTCCACACCATCGGCTATGTAGGTAATCATCATCATACAATATAATTATAGGTACTTTTTTACCTGAAAGAACATTTTAAGTAGGTACATTAGGAAATATGTTAACTCCGCATTTTGCATGACATGTTTTTAAGAGAATGTGTAAATTAGTTGTGGTTAATTTTTTTAAGTCAAATCTTACTGTTCTGTGGTTTGTTTTTCATAATTCTCATGTGAAATCAATGGACTCTGCTCAAAAAGCTTCTCTCTTGGTTGAATGTCACTCTGTCCTCTTTTCTTTTCAAATTAGAAAAGGAAATTAACTCAATTATTTGGTTTTTGTGTTAAAAAATTTTTTGTGCTGACAATCACTCAATCAGTTTAAGAGGGAAAGTTCCGAGAGTCAATCTGATTTTGTACATTTCTCTTTTTCGTACATGCCTTTTCTTTTCCTTTTCATTTTACTTTTTTTTGTGTATGGTTTAAGATGGAGATAGAATTTTATAACATACACCGACCAATTACTGAGAAGGGCGGGAACCATCAGCCAATCATAGGTGGCCTTGCTAGGTTTAAATTTTTTGTTTACTTTCTGTTGTGCTGTCGCATGTCGACTCAACTAACCCATGAGAAAGACCGACCTCGTGCCTCGCTGATCAAATCAAAGTTTCAACTTCATCGTTGATAGTTAGTGCAATTACTGTTTGAGCTCTGGACCACATTCTGCACGTATCTCTCTCCAGTGAAAATTAGGTGATAAACTCTATTTTTCTAACCATTTTCTATTAGTGCTTTCCATTCTCAAGTAATTATGGAAAACACGGATCGCCTTTGCATCGTTTGTTACAAGGAAAATGCCAAGCCATGCGGTCAATGCAAGAGCATTTACTACTGCTCTGTCCCTTGTCAGCGATCAGACTGGCGGACCCACAAGCTTTTGTGCTCAGCGTATGCCAGCTTTGATAAAACAAGTCGACCCTCACCAACTGACAAGCATTTCTTAGGAATTTTCTTCCCAGTAGATGATAAGAAACCTCAACTTGTGTGGGTTAGACGTGGACGTGAGGGAAGTAACCTACCTGTCCTTGATGTGCAGCCATTTCTGAATTTACCGCCTGAAGAAAATGCTAGGGTCATAACCATCTATCATGACCCATTGATGGATAAGGAACTGCCAGATATGATCCATTTTGATACCCGCGATAATTTCCTGAATGATGGATCAGAAGTCAATCAATGTCTCCGTCGTATGACCTCCGTGTGTCCTGGAGCTTATCAAGGTTGGAGAGGTCCAGCCATGATCACTGTTAAAGTAGGACGTGATCCAGGTCTTGATTTAGATCTTATTCAGTACAGGGATGTCACCCTGACTGACTTTAAACACCTCTGTAATTACCTCTTTTGTTACCAATCTGATGAAAGATTACATGCGTTTCGGTTTAATTCAGTCGATGAACTGTTCAAAATGCAAGGTCGAGGTCTACAGCCACCGCTATATTGATCACAAAGCACCACTGTTTTTCTTCAAAAATTGTTGCTGCCTTTATGCAGAGTGCAAGTAATTTGATAAACTCCAACAAATAATGAGAAGGAAAGTTAAAATTAAACAGGAAGCAAACCATCAAACATAAATGAACCTTTTCTGTTTCTGTGCCGTGGTTTGTGGCTTTCAAGTAGATGGGCTCTTGTCTCTACTTATTAAAATAGTGATCATTTGTCTATATCTGCTCAATATTTAAAAGAAATACTACTCCTCATTTATACCATCTACACGATCCTTCAGTTTTTTCGTAACTTTTTCTCCCTTCTAGTATTATGTTAACTCCACTTTTTTCTGTACCTAACTTTCAAATAATTTTTTGTATTTTCGTGTTTTTCATTCACTAATTGAATATTTGCCTTTTTTTTACTACGAATATTTGTAACTATACCATCCTTTATTCTTAGTATTGCACTATCTTGGTTTTTTGTCAAAATGTACCGAATTACCTACCCTAAATGCTTGTCTTATATTTAACAAATTTAGAAATGGATTTCACCTAAGATTTTTCAATTATATTTTTCATTAATTCGATTATTTTCGTATTGTTCTCATTTTATCACTGTTTAGGTGTAGTTATTTGTCGCCCATAGTTTTCCTTAAGTTAATTCAAGTGGTTGCTACAAGAACATTTTTGCAACATTAGCGGAGGTTATAATTATATCGCATTTAGCAAAAAGGAACCAGCGCCATTACAGTGTTGTTTCTTCATAACGATCTAAAAGGTCTCTCAGAAAAGCAAATGGTTTTTGCTTCCTTCCGAAAACATTGTTAATTTTAAAGGAAAATAACCGTATAAATTTTGATACTGTATTTTCAAAAAGAAAGTAGAAATTGCTCGATTTTGAAAACACTGTAACCGAGCTGGTTCCTTTTTGCTAAATGCGATCCATTTGAGGGTCTTGGAAGACAGTTGAGATAGGTGCAGTTCTTTAAAAAAAATTGAGTTATTAACGAATTCAACTAGAGGTAGACCTAGAGTATATTCTGGGAAAAATCCACCGCTAAAGTCCAATTTTTAAGCATCAAAAGTGAGTTTGATCTTTCCCCACCATAAGGATCCATCTCTATGTAATTTTGAAACTTGCAAAACATACTTATTTCTTGAACTAGCAAATACTCACTGCACCAAAAACCAGGCTTAAGCCCTTCAATTTATCGCTAAAAGCAAAGGTGTAGTAAATGCCGGAGCTTGTGAGCTGTGGCTTACTTGCGGCGTGAGGAAATCCGTAAGCTTGTAAGGAAATTTTTTGATGAGAAAGTTCTTTTCCTCTTCTGGCTAAAATTAAGATGAAGGACAGAAAATTTGTTTAGGTACTTAATTTGGCCATTTTTTGCTCAACACGTTCTCTTGGCGATTCTGGACTATTCGGATGGTTTCCGGCTGAGATTAAGTGAGATTAATTATGTCTAATTTTGACTCAAAAGAACTTTCTGCACCTCTGGTTATGGCACTAACTTTGTTGTCAACGTTTCATTTGAACAACACACCTAGGTACGTACTTAATATACCCTCATCTACATAATACACCACCCACGTACCATTTAGGCAGGAGTGATTTTTTTTTTCAGCTGTCATCATGAATCTCTGAAGTTAAAATAATGATTATAACTTGAAAATACTTAGACAATGAAGAATACCTAAGTAGGTATGACCAGATAAAATGAGCTATTTATTTGTGCTGTTTAGTACAAAATTCTTAGTTAAAATTTAATTTTTTTTTTTTTCTTTTTTTTTCCTACAATTAATTTTACTTTACTTAATATTTTGCTGGCTATATTAAAAGTGGTTTTAAAATCATTCCCAATCTTTCCTCCTTGACAAACTTCCGTCGAAGTTTAAATTGAAAGTGTACCTAGCGGTTGTGTTCACTCTTGAATTGTCTTGAGTCCACTTGTTTAAGTACCTACTTACCATAATTTGTTTAGAATTTTTTTTCCCTTTGAAAAGAAATAATTAATTTCCCGGCCTGATATTCTTTTGACTTTCCTTAGGTACCTAATGCAAATAGACAGGACAGGAGTAGGATAGGCGCGCAGCAAATGTTATTGCTACCATACCGGAGCGTTGTGAGTGTTGCCTATTTAATAATTGAAGGGGTTCCACTCACTGAAATTTATTGCAATGGTGTAGAAATATATACCTTTCAGTTCTATTGCATTTATTTTGTAATTTTTTTGCATTGAAAATTATCTAGGTACCTGTCTATCACATTGAACTCATTTTTTTAACCTTTAAAATCGTCATTTATTCACCAAATGGTGCACAAATATTTCATTTTAGAAAAAATCCAGAATTATTTTGTCAATATTTTTGCTGGACTTTGCTACTTGGGAAAATGTATGTCTGACGCTTGGTATGCTTTCTGTGTGCAGAAACTGCAGCTTTTTGAGGTACCACTGATTTGTCGAAAAGCTGTACCTATACCTACCTACCTTTCGATATTTTCTCTCAAAATTTCTTCATTATTATTACTTATTAATTCTCCTAATTAAGTTTTTGGGACTGGTTTTGCCAGTCGCTGCTTTTTACTTTCATAGAGCGATGGCCAAAGTGCGAAAAGACGTATCTCCATTGCGGTGCTTCAAAATCTCAGCTCCAATTTTATTTTTTCATGGAGAAACAAGTCAACTATACCTTTAGCTTGAAATTTGTACTAGATATTCAGCTAGGTAACAGAGAAAAAAAATAAAGGAAGTTTTCAATAAATTAAGTCAAGTAGTTTTCCAAAGTAAAAGAATGACAGGAAGTTTGCGACGTCGTAAGTGGAGGTAGGTACGCGGTTTCGCACTTTGGCCATCAGGTACTAATTTTGAATCAATCTAGGTACGTACCTCTCAACCCCGCAAACCCCAATGTAGTTACAGATGCTATACTTGGAAGGAAAAGGAAGACAAATTCTTATGACGGAAGAAATGAAGTTCCCTCTCAAAGCATACTCGCAGAAAAAATTTTACCCACCTCAAATTTTAAAAATTAATGAAAATAAACGTAGGTAATTCACTACGGCGAGGATCCACTTTATTTCTATTGAGCATTGGTGCTGAAACATTTGTCAAAAATTGCATCAATCGGCCAGCTTGGTAGTTGTAGCTATCAGAGAAAAATAGGCAATGTTTGCATTGAATTAATTTTTTAATTTTTGTTTCAGGAACAACCCAGAATCAGGAGCGTTGAAGCGATCGATTTCCCAACCGCTGGAAACTGAAATTTGGAACATCATCATGTGCAGTCTGGAGGGAGCTTTTTGCTCTTGTTGCTTTTGTTCCATGGAGGGTTCAATCCAAGAGGAAATTCTTTTTTTCCTCCGACAGGATCCGCGTGTCTCCCTTAAAGAGACAAAAATCTCTAGAGTTCCAAATAGCAGAACTTATTTGGAATATTTCAATTGTGATGCTCTCACTCTGCCTTTGAGAACACCGCAGAAAGAAGTAAGTTATTTTGAGTTTTGCGCATTGATTCTCATTTTGTCTCTCCTCTGATGTTAGGATGTATCCTAATTCCCTTGCGAGTCCTGGAATGCATGGAGTTATATATGGTCATTAGGATTCAACTCAAAATTTAGTCATGCTCTCATATAGGAGGAGTGACGATTTATGAAGAAGGATTTTCCAAGTTTGGTTGGCTGCCTTCAAAAACGTTCCATGAACTGTTGGACTGAGGATGCAGCATTATTTAAAAAGATCTTATCTGCTGCCTAGATTTCATAGATTTAAAAATAATAAATATTGTAAAATTTCTCCAATGCTAAAGTGCTTTGACTAAATGATGAACTGCTAATTTTATTAAATCAAAGAAACAATTTTTGTTTCGCTGTACCTACGCGTTGCCTATTGTGAAGTTAAAGGAGGCTGCAATCTTGGAACCGTACCCGGTTTTATCGGGTTAGTAACGCAGGCAGTCTCCTTTGGGCATCAATCTTCAAAAGGAAGGAAAAGAGGAGAAAAGGAAGTGATTTTAGGATTTTTTTTTAAATACCTATAAAGTTGAAGTTATGCATACCTATAAGATTAGATAAAGATATGTCAAACTTTCTCCAAAAATACATTATTCTGTAACAATTTTCTGGAGGAGGTTCACCATCCCACAGACCTGAGATAATCCGTAATTGAAGTTCCAAAGTATTTTTCACTTTTTTATCGTATTTTATGTTCAAATCATGAACAGAAGCATCAGTCTCTAGAACCTGGCATTGTGGAGGGTCTTAAATGGACTGCAGGGACGTAAGCTAAGAGGAACCAAGTCAGATTAGCTGTGACCTCTCATAAGACAATCTTATTGTTTTTGGGTAGAACGGTAGTGTGGATTTTTCTAAAAATTTTAGGCGATGTCATCTGTGACATGAAGCAAATTTTCAAGAGGACCTGTAAAACCAATCTATCAAAATATCAAATTTTCTCCAAAAATACATTATTCTCTAACAATTTTCTGGAGGAGGTTCACCATCCCATAGACATGAGATAATCTGTTCACCTGGAAATAACATGGGGGCAGGAAAATTCTTGCCGTCTCAAGGTGGGCGAGAAGTCGAATCCGGGCATGATTGGAACTAAATCGAAGTCTGCGTTTATTTTCGGCTCAATCGACGACTTGTATACTCATTTGCCTAATCAACCTTAAGTTTCAGTTCTTGCATTTTTAAGTGCTTCAATATAATAAAGTAAATATTTTTTAGTGCAAGTAGCAAGTCCGTGTGCAAGAGATGCACTTGGTGACTTTTTGTTGAATTGAAAGAAAGATGCAGTACCCTCATTGCCCTTTTTTTGCAGCGTTTTTTTTTTTTTTTTTTTTTTTTTTTGTAGATAAATCTGGATTTCTCTTGGAAAGGCAAATTGAAAATTTTGTTATTCAGCAAATCTTTGACTCAAAAGTAGACCAGATAATTGATTGATTTTGTCAGTATGGAAATTTACATTATCAGTAACCTTGACTCATCGTGAGTGTAAATTTTTACTGAAAAAAAAAATGAGGTTTACACGATATCTCTCCTCACCTCAGAGTACATTGACTGGAGTTGAATCTCCTCAATTTTTGTACCTAGCAAACTTAAGAATCGATAAGTAATTTCTGATATTTTTGCAAAGAATAATTTTGGTTTTTCTATTTTCTCAGGACTGTTCCTTGAAAGTTCCTTGGAGACCATTGAAGCTGTTCTAAACTTATTTGGAATTTTTCAATTGTGATGCTCTCACTCTTCCATTGAGAACACCGCAGAAAGAAGTAAGTTCGTTTGAGTTTTGCGCATTGACTCTCATTCTGTCTCTCCTCTGATGTTAGGATGTATCCTAATTTCCTTGCGAGTCCTGGAATGCATGGAGTTATATATGGTGATTAGGATTCAACTCAAAATTTAGTCGTGCTCTCATATAGGAGGAGTGACGATTTATGAAGAAGGATTTTCCAAGTTTGGTCGGCTGCCTTCAAAAACGTTCCATGAACTGTTGGACTGAGGATGCAGCATTATTTAAAAAGATCTTATCTGCTGCCTAGATTTCATAGATTTAAAAATAATAAATATTGTAAAATTTCTCCAATGCTAAAGTGCTTTGACTAAATGATGAACTGCTAATTTTATTAAATCAAAGAAACAATTTTTGTTTCGCTGTACCTACGCGTTGCCTATTGTGAAGTTAAAGGAGGCTGCAATCTTGGAACCGTACCCGGTTTTATCGGGCTAGTAACGCAGGCAGTCTCCTTTGGGCATCAATCTTCAAAAGGAAGGAAAAGAGGAGAAAAGGAAGTGATTTTAGAATTTGTTTTTAAATACCTATAAAGTTGAAGTTTCGCATACCTCGAAAGAAAAAAATGAGGTTTACACGATATCTCTCCTCACCTCAAAGTACATTGACTGGAGTTGAATCTCCTCAATTTTTGTACCTAGCAAACTTAAGAATCGATAAGTAATTTCTGATATTTTTGCAAAGAATAATTTTGGTTTTTCTATTTTCTCAGGACTGTTCCTAGAAAGTTTCAGTAAATCTCACCAGCGGCTTATGAAATAATTCGACTGAGTCTCTTCATCAACTTAAACAGAGAGGATTCAATTTAAAGGAGACCATTGAAGCTGTTCTAAACATCGACAGAATGATTAGGTACTAATTTTTCGCAACAAATGTCAATATTTAAAAAACTACCATTATGATTAGAATTTTGAATTATTTTACTTGTTTTTCCCAATTTTTCGTGATTTTTTCTTCTCTTCCATTCAACAATCATTTTGGCTATCATAGCCATCACAATAACTTGACCATTTTTTAAAATAAGCAAAAATCACAAACTTGTATGAAATTACACTGAAGCCAACAAAAAACTATGACGCTAAAAGAATAGTTACCTAGTTACACAAATTATCAAAAAACTAACAAAACTCGTAGTTTTTTGTGTTTTTGCACAAGTTTTCAATTTTCATGGATTTTCAAAAATGGCTGCGTTTGTTTGATGATGGCCATCGTCCCAAAATGATCGTTGCAACGGAAGAAGAAAAGAATCGCTAAAAATTTGGAAGGACAGTCAAAAAAACTCAACATTTTAATGATAATCTTGGTTTAAGCAAAACACCCATCAAATCTCACACTTAATTTTATATCGCAGTGTATAGTTGCAAAAATCTTGCAGGTTCTCAGAAAACACTGGAAAATTCGGAATTAATCAATGCAAATTTGTTAGAAATTGCCTCTAATTAACTAACAAATTGAGGGTGAAACTACCAGACCACGTCTGTGTTTACAACGCTGTAAACTTCCAGTCATAAGTAGTTCATTTTTTAAATGAAAACTAACACAGCACAACAAATTTCGGGTTTTGGTTTGTCCTTTGAACGAAACCAATTTTTTCGATTCCTCGGTGCCAAAGAAGCCCAAAAATGGCCATATTAACTTCAGGAACATTTGCTGGTCCTCAAGGGTGCTGCCAATTTGAATTTTTCAAAATTGAGAAAACCCACGATTAGATTTTTGCAAATATCTCCTCAACGGCTCATCTCAATAAAAAAAACAATAATACCAGCGGTAAGAGCATAAAATTTCCTACGGAAATCACCCTCCTTTGTTTTTTCTAGCTTAATTTTTTGGTCGTGAAGTTAACTTTTTCCTCAAAAATTAGCTTAAAAAAGGCGCATTTTTGCTTATTTTAGGAGAAAATTTGCTTCATACCTCCAGCCACGATTATCTGAGAAAAAAACTGTTGTGCTCATTAAAAAGAGCGTAAAATTTACCTTTTGAAAACATATGTCAATAGTTCCTAAACTTGATTTAATCCTGTGAAAAAGCAGTTTATTAGCTCCGCCCTTAAAAATGTGATTATTTCGACCATTTTCCTTAGAATCACGAAAAAGAGAGAGAAAACCCTAAAAACGTAACCCGAACTGTGTAAAAAGGTGGCAAAATTGTGCTGGGTCCACACTATTTTGCAAACAAAGCCAAAAAGTTCCAAAATTTTCAATCAGAATGAAAAATTGTGAGCTCCAATGAGTATCAGTACAAAACTGAGGGGGGTGAGTGTTCAGCTCAGGCAGTTTGCATTGGAGCATTGAGGTGAGGTAACGTCGAAAGATCTATAATTGGATCTTTTTATACCTCATCAATAGATCACACTCGTCATGTGAACCCAACTGAAAATCTCGCAAAATCCAAGACGGCATCAAAGCTCAAGTTCGAAGTACTAGTTTTGTATTGGAAGATGGCAAGTTTCGTACTTGTACTCATTGGACCTCAAAATTTTTGACTCTGATTAAAAATTGTTGAACTTTTTGGCTCTTTGATCTCATTGACGAGTGTGATCTACTGATGAGGTCTATAACAAGACCCAAAATTATAGATCTCTTGCCGTGACATCTACTTAATATTCTAATGCTAATTGCCTGAGCTGAACGCTCTTCCCCTTCAGTTATGTACTGCCGCACTGATTATCCATTAGAGCTCAAAATTTTTGACTCTGATTGAAAATTTTGGAACTTTTTGGCTTTGTTTTGCAAAATAGTGTGGACTTAGCACTTTTTGCTTAGTTCAGGTTACGTTTTTAGGGGTTTTTTCTCTTTTTTTTCGTGATTCTAAGGAAAATGGTCAAAAAAATCACATTTTAAGGGCAGATCTAATAAACTGCTGTTTCACAGGATTAAATCAAGTTTAGGAACTATTGACATAAGTTTTCTAGAGGTAAATTTTACGCTCTTTTCAATGAGCACAACAGTTTTTTTTCTCAGATAATCGTGGCTGGAGGCATGAAGCAAAGTTTTCCTAGAATTAGCTAAAATGCGCCTTTTTTAAGCTAATTTTTGAAGGAAACGTTAATTTCACGACTAAAAAATCAAGCTAGAAAAAACAAAGGAGGGTGATTTCGGTAGGAAATTTTATGCTCTTTCCGCTGGTTTTTTGTTTTTTTCTTGAGATGAGCCGTTGAGGAGATATTTGCAAAAATCTAATCGTGGGTTTTCTCAATTTTGAAAAATTCAAATTGGCAGCGCCCTGAGGACCAGCAAATTTTTCTGAAGTTAATATGCCATTTTCGGGCTTCTTCAGCACCTAGGAATCGAAAAAAATTGGTTTGGTTCAAAGGACAGAACCCATGTTGACCAGTGTAATTAATGAGAGCTCTTGAAATCTTCCGTGATTTTTTCTCTGCACCAAGAAAACTCTGTGAAAATTTCCAGGAATGATATTTATTTGTTCTCTTTTAAAAAAATAAAATGGGAGGGGAGATTTTTAAACACCGCAAACAAGATAAGTGGTCTGATAGTTTCACCATTGAAAAAGTAATTTTTCATGCTGGCTAAACTGTAATGTTATTGATAATATCATGTGTGATGTCTTTTTCAACCTCCTGAGCAGGGTCTGCCTTTAAAATTGAGCTTTCTGGGTTCCCATGTTTGATGTAAGCAGGGCTAAAAAACAACCTCTCAACGTTTTTACGTGTGTATTCTATGAAGATGTGGCCTTACTTCTGGGTCGGATACAAAGTTACACTGAGTCTGTTTTATCTCTCTGGCGATTCGTAGCAAAGGAGCTCCCCTAGGGTAACAACATTTTGACCAGAAAATGCATGTTAAAATGCTGAAGATTTCACTTTTTAGTCATTTTTTCCTGGAAAATCTGGATATTTTGACGCAATTTCGACTGTAAAATTTTGTAAATTGAAGTGGATTTTTGTCCAGAAGTTCCAAGAAAAAAATTCTTAGGCTGAAGAAAAACAAGATTTAAGTGTTTGCAAAAAATTACAAAAAATTTCTCCCGGTAGGCAAGGAGGTTATCCTTTTCACAGATCAAGTCAAATTTATCCACTCTTTATTTACAGAATTTGATTTAATCTTGTTTTAGGATGCAGCTAGAATGACATCAAAGAAGACTCGGAGGTGCAAAAATATGGAGGCAGTGAATTCTTTCGGATTTCAGCGAGGACAGCATCAATATAAGAATTCAGTTTTGGATGATTCCATGCTGAAAAAAGGTAAACTGAGGCAGGAATTTGTTTTTCTTTTCTTTTTGAGTTGCAAGCAGTGGAAAAAATTGGATAAATTAAGCAATATCATTCCACCAAAGAAAGAATGAACACAATGTTCAGTAGCAGATTTGATCAAAGTCTAAAAAAAATGTGAACAGTGAGAAAATCAAAATGTCAATTTTCCATGACAAAAATTACAGACACCAACATTACGAGGTCTGTTAGATTAGAAACCGGATTTTGGTCATAACTAGCCCACAATGTGTCCAAATTAGGTTTTCTTGAGCTTTCCTAATAGCTGGAAATATACTTAAGAACGCTACGTTCACAGATTTTTTTTTATTTTGATCAGTGTTTATTCTGTGTCATCTTGAATACAAGCAAGTTAGGTGCGTTTTGCGATTTTCATGATGCGATCACTGATAGAGCAAAGATTCAACATATAATTTTGTTTCAAACTCGGTATACCTTGTAACGAAACTTTTGGCATATGCTAAGTAAAGTTTACCATGATCATTGAATGAGATGTTCCCACTGTTTTGAATGGGTTAAACGATTCAAAACTGGTCAGGAGTTCGTCAAAGATGAGGAGCATGGGAATCGACCCTCAACGGCAACTGACATTTGTCACATGGAAGAAGTGCGGGTAAAAGTGCTCGAAAATGGTCGTTTCGAGCTTGTTGAACAGAGTAATATTTCTGAAGGCTCTGTGCATACAATTTTGATAGAATATGTAGACACGCATCGAGTTTCAGGTACACTTGCCCCTTGATTGTTGTCCGTTGAACGAAAATCCAACCAAATGTTAATTTCCCTTAAGCTGCTTGAACGTTCTAACAATGATTCTACATTTTTGGATAGGATAATTTTCGGTGACAATACTTTAGTGTACGGCTATGATACGGAGAAGAAACTCCAATCGTTCTTGTGGGTTGAAAAATGTAGTGCAAAACCGAAAAAAGAGAGACAAGTTCGGTCAAACATAAAAATCGCAAAACACCCTTGAGGTTCCCTTACTTCAAGCCACATACCAACAAAGCTAATTAGGATTTTTCAAATTTGTGAACATAGTGTTCTTAAATATATTTTCAGCTATCAGAAAAGCTCAAGAAAACGTAATTTGGATGCATTGTGGGATACACTGAAAATAAAAACTGCTAAAATCAACACATGAAATAATGAAAAAAGGTGACAACTCATCAAAATAGATTATGAACACCGGGTTGATTTTACTGATTTGGTGATTTGTCACCGTATTTTAGCAATTTTTTTTTCAGTGTAGTTATGACCAAAATCCGGTTTCTAATCTAACAGACTTTGTACATTACTGTTACATTATTTAGAGACAAAATTACACTAAAAGTGTACACCTGTACCAAGAAATTTGTCCCTGGCTAAATTTTGATATCTTTTGACATGGTGTTCCTTTCAGCGTCCGGAGTATGATGAGCTTTTAAAATTGAGGAGCTTGGAGGACAAAGCGTATAAGTGCAGTTTTTGCTATTTTGAGGAAAATATGTTTAAAGTTTCTAAATTATATGGAGCCTTATGGCATAAACAAAGTTCAAACTCACATTTTGATGCTTAACAATTAGATTTTAGTCACAGAATTCATATCAAATCTAGATTTAGTTGAAATCACTAATATCTCAATTAATTCGAAAACTGCATCTTTGTGCCTTGTCCTCAAAGCCTCTCAATTAAACCAGTCTTGATGAAGCGGGGTTGAATAGTTACTTATTTGGCAATTTTGCACAGAATATCCTTTAATCATGTTGCAACAATGATTGGTGAACGAAAAGAGCCTCTGTTTTCTTGCTGGCTGCGAAAGTACGATAGTCTAAAAGAGTAAAATTCCTCCAAATGATAAAAGCATGCCTTGCAGTGTCCTTGCAGGCATAGCCGCAGCTCCACATCTCCATCAGAAAACGCACTTAAGAAGGCCAAAAAAAATTAACTTTTCAGGGCCCATCTTGATAACATTTAATTCTAGCAGTTAGACTTTAAAGCTCATTCTGTCTCGGAAGCTGTAAGGAACATCATATCAAATACTTCCAAAATTTCTGGGTATTCTGAGTGTAGTCCTTTGGACTTATGCTTTAACCTCAATAATTTGCTGAAACAAGTTGAAGTCAGGTCGAAGCTTTGTTTTAAAATCATTTTTCATCATGGAATTTAAAATTTAGCAAAATCAATATTTCTCACTTTCCAAAAAGTCTCCAAAAAATTCCAAAATCGCCTATGTAACACTGTGACTCTTGTCACAAAAGAAGAATATTGCACCATCGCACTTAAGTGTATCATTGAATCAGTGAGAACGAAAGTACACCAACTCAGTAACTCAAAAATGCTCAATTTGCATTTAAGAGAGTCAGTTTTCATAGAAGTAAGTGAAGTTAATGCATCTGTTCCAACTTGGACCTTAAAGAGTCTTCAAGTACTTGTCTCTCAGCACCAAAAATCTTTTTCTCACACTAACTTCTTCAACTACTGTGCAGTTTTGCGTATGTCTTGATTATTTTCATTTTTTCGAGTTTGTGTGTTTTCGTTCTCATTCTCACTAATTCAATTGTGGTAATTAGGAAGAGAATCAATAACAAAAAGAACAAAGCAAGTGCATTGAATTTCTGCTGAGTAATGTATTTTATGTCATTTGCTTTCCTCTAAAATTCACAGAGTGGACTGCTAGACACGTTACAAAAAGCATTTTTATGTATGTTTCATTCTTAATATTTCGTGTTGAACTTAATAAGTGCAACATAAAGTTTCTGAATTCAAATCTGTACTCAAAAAATAATGCATTTTTTTAAGCACTGGTTACAAAATTCATATGAAAATATACTGGTCGATTAAGAAGCTTGTCAAAACCGTTGTAGTGCAAGATTTGATTCACTGCGACTCTATTTTCTCTTGTGAGTGAGAAATCAAAATTTAATTTAACAAGTACTTAATCCAAACGTTAACACCTTTGTTAGGAGTAACTTTCAGTAATTTTAATCGCATGAATCTGAATCATGTTCTACATTTATTTTTGAAGAGGAAGCATATATCAGAATGCTTTAATTTGTACTTTGTCTTGAGGCAGTGGACCATCGCATAGAGCAACCTGTTTTAGGAAAAAATTTAAGGTCATAGAGAAGGCCCTTCAAGCACTTGTATGTTTTAATCATGCCAGAAATCTTGCTGAATTTTGCTTGTCTTTTAAAGAGAACCTATGTTGACTCAATAGAGTCTCCATTACGATAGATTAAACTGACAGTATTTTTTCCAGCTGAGTGAATTTTAATTCTCTCAATATTTGTAACGTTTCAGTAGCTATGGATCTTATAGGAAGTGTCAAACTGGAAATGCTCCATCAACAATCTCCAGCAAGATGCTTTTTCAAGTACCTTCGCTTGGGTGGAATGAATTTAAAAATGCTTCAGGGGCGCAAAATGACTTCGCAGAGCTGAGATTCTGACTTATCAATAAATGCACCAAAGTTCAACTCCTATTTTCAAATCTTTGGTGCTTTCTATGGACTTAAAGATGTGTTAAATGTGGATTATATCCTTAACGTAAGTTCCAAAGTATTTGCTACTATATTATTGTATTTTATGTTCAAATTTTGAACAGAAGGATCAGTCTCTAGAACCTGGCATTGCGGAGGGTCTTAAATGGACTGCAGGGACGTAAGCTGAGAGGAACCAAGTCAGATCAGCTGTGGCCTTTCATAAGACAATTTCATTCTGTTTGGGTAGAACGGTAGTGTGGATTTTTCTAAAAATTTTAGGCGATTTCATCTGTGACATGAAGCAAATTCTCAAGAGGACCTGTAAAACCAATCTCCTGTAAAAAAATAAATTGTATGATGAAATTTGCAATGGCTATTACGACTTGATTCTTTTCTTCTTGATGCGGTCCAAATGATGTTGGATTACTAAGAATTTTGCTTGTTTGGTTTTTCTTTTTAACATTGAACTTATTCAGGGAAGGCCAGCATCATGTAGGTTTTGTAAAGTTATCTTTTTTTTCTCTCACGATTTTGTTATAGATTTATTGCTCTCTGGAAATTTGCATAGATAATTTTGTGTCGTTATTTAAAAAAAATAAAATTCAATTTTATAATCACGGTTTTTCTTATTGTGACAAAAGGTTAGTACCTAAGTAAGTAGCTAAGCAAAAAAAAAAAAAGATTAACTCCAAGTATACTTCAGGGTCTCTAAAATTTTTCTGACAATTTTGCAGAATTTCATATTTAAGTTTACTTTCCAAGATTATTCCAATTAAAGTTTAGACAGTTTATCAAGTCTGAAGGAGAGGAAACGTTGATGTATAGCGGTGCTTTTTTCTCAAAGAAATTGGGTTTTATTTACATGTTACTGACTTCAAGTGCCAAAATTAAGATGAACAGAAATTTTGAAGTATTGAAGATATATTTATATGGGTAGGAATGCTATCAAATAGTTTCTGAGTAGATGGAACATTTATAGCGAGTTTCATGGAGAAACTAACCGGTTAAATTCAATTATTTCCAATATTCTGTTTATCTCATGGACGGATGGCCAAGGTCGAAAAAGTAGACTTCGGGTTGCAGGATGACAACTCTCCGCATTTGTTTCGTTTTTAAAAGAACACTGAGCAACAATTTTATTTTTTTTTGAGATTTTCAAGTGAGTTCGCTCACAAAGTCTGGGAATTTCATAAACATTTTTTGGTGGAAGTTCGATTCGAATGTCAGGGAATTCTAAAGTTTTGAATCAGTCAGGGAAAGGTCAGAGAATCAGAAAATGAAGAAATTACAGAAACCTTGTAATAAAATTTACTTCATCATGAAATTGCAATAGTTTTACAATGTTTAGTAAATAAATGCCGATTTTAAAAATCGATAAAATGAGTTCCATGTTGCACGAAGATGGACTATTTTCAATGCAGAGAAAAATTCCAAGAAGGAAGGCCCCTTCTTCTAGTAGATAAACAACTTGCACAACGCTGCAACGCAGTAGCAATAATTTTAGCATGTATTGCAGTTTATCGCAACCTTTGGTACTTAGGCAAGGCAATGGAGCCTTCGAAAATTTGTGTAATACTAACAGTAGAATCCTGTCCGATCCCAAACTGCTATTACCAATGATTTCCATTTAATAACAAAAAACGAATTTTGCAATGCAGAGAAAAAAGTGAGTAAGAGGAGCCCCTTCTAATAGTAGATATGCAACAAGCACAACGCTCCGATGCTGTAGCAATGATTTTAGCATGATTTTTAATTGTTGGAGAATTTGCAGGTGCCTGAAATTTGATAAATTTCGTGCTTAAGTGGAATAAATACAAGGATACCCTTTGTTCATAAATTGAGCAATTATATGAGGAGATATGACAAAGTGATTGAATGTGCTAAAATGGATTGCGCACTGAAAAAAAAAGATTGGTAGAATTTACCATTCCTTTTTGCTGTGTGAAATACAGCGTGAAGGAATGGTAAATTCTACCAATCTTCAAGTCGATTCTGCCAGAGGAATGGTTACCTGTACCAGTATATAGTAACGTTTCCCTTTCTTCTGGCAGAATTGACTCTGAATTAACGCTGTGTGAAATTCAGCGTGAAGCAATGGTAAATTCTACCAATCTTTTTTTCAGTGCATATACCAAAAAGGAACCAGCATGATTACAAAATTGTAAACATGTTGCCTCTCCATAATCATCTAAAAAATTTCCCATAACAGCAATTTTTTTTTGCTTCCCACTAAATAATTGGCAATTTTAGAGGAAAATAATCGTGTAAACTTATACTTAATACTGTACATATATTGAGTATTTTTAAAAGAAAATAAGAAGTTGAACACTTTTGAAAACACTGTAATCGCGCTGGTTACTTTTAGCTAAATGTGATCCAAATATATGTATTTAAATGAAAAATGTTGCCAGATGATGTAACTAAGCGGTGGATTATTTCTTTTTTAAATCTATTTTTACACTATTTCCCGTATTGTCGTTTCCCCAACAAAGGAACATAACTCAATTCCATGATTGCAAAATCAACTCAAACAAATTAATTTGTTACAAGAATATACTTGTGCAATCTGAGTCCAATTTTTTTCTGATTTTGGCAAGAGATCCGAGAAAAAGTCGGTGAAATTTTCAGTTAGAATTGCCAAAAATTTTCCGAATATAAATGAAATTTGCGAGCGAATGTTGGCCTAAATGGTATCGGAACTTGGCTGTTTTGAAAACGCCTTAAAATGCGGCGTGATACCTCACGCATTCCGGAGAGTTAAAATAGTTGTATCATTGCGCCGTAAGAATGTGACGGAAGATTACAATTGAAGTAGTCTTCATGCACGCTGGGCTTGTCGATTTCCGTTGACATTTGTGCAGTGGTGAATGCATAGCTGAATTGCGCTCCTGCTAGAATTGTATTTAGCAAATGGGTGGTTTTTATACGAGGATTAAGAATAAACAAGTGGTTAGAAATTAAAACAAAATAATATGAACCATGCAAAACGATAATCTGGGCATCGGAACTTGGCTGTTTTGAAAACGCCTTCGAATACGGCGTGATACCTCACGCATTCCGGAGAGTTCAAATAGTTGTATCATTGCGCCGTAAGAATGTGACGGAAGATTACAATTGAAATAGCCTCCATGCACGCTGGGTCTTCGATTTCCTTCGACATTTTTGCAGTGTTGAATGCATAGCTGAAATGCTGAATTGCGCTCCAGCTAGAATAATTTTGAACTTTTAACCTATCCATGTGAATTATTTTCATATTAAGTTTTATTACGATTAATTAAATTGAAATCTACAGTGAATTTACTTTTATAATGATAATAGTATTAATAAATTCATAATTTAACATTTCACTTTTTACATTGTAATATTCTCATTTTAGAATTGTTGAACTTCGTGAATTTTTACCTCTGAGACTTTTTTTTTGTTGCTTTTTTTGCTTTTTAAATGAGTTAGTTATAGGGAGACTCAAGTTTGACTCTCCTTTGAGTTGAAACGCCGGGAGAAGTTGGGAGAGCCGGTCTCGGGCTGTGAACGTTGAGGACGTAACAAAAATCATAATAACATTTCAATTTGCGTGCAAATCCTACATTTCTATCGCACACTGAAAAAAAAAATCTCGGTGTATTTACTAAGAAAAGGGTAAAATTACCAAGAATTCAGGGTTCCATCTGATCCCAGTTTTTTCTTGGTAAAATTACCATTAATGCATACATACATAAAGTCGCTTTTATAGCGCCGTCTCGCGCTCTGCGACGCCCAATCGCCAAAATTACCACTAATGGAATTGTTAATTTTACCGAAAAATCTCGGTTAAATTATTGAACTTTCTCGGTAATTTTACGGGACCTTGGTAACAACGCCAATATTTTTTTATCTACTGTGGTAGAATTACCGAGATAAATTGGAAAAGTTACCGGGAATTGATTACCAATAAAAGTGGTATTCCTACCTGAAATAAAACAGTAAAAATACCGGTTTTTAGGTAAGCTTACCAGTGTTTCTTGGTAAAATTACCAATAATTTGTAAAAAAAAGTGAGATGGTAAAGGTACTAACGGACCGTGGTAAAAACGCCGAGAATTTTTCTTCAGTGCAACCGTCGTCCCTCGGCCAAGGCAACGGAGCCTCCGATAATTTCCGTAACACCGGCAACGAAATCCTCCCGATCCAAAGCCCCAGACACCCCCTCGAAACCCCCACACACCCCTTCGTAACCAGTGGCGTGGTGTGAATGATCGATTATCGATATCTCCCCATTTGAGTCCGCGGTAAAGAATCGATTATTAAGGTGTTCGCTGCGAACACACTGTTAATCGATCCTTTATCATAGGTTTCAATGGCAGATCAATCGATATCGTCACCTTCCAGGCAAAGTATCACAAGCGCCATGCGACGTTTAAAAATTTCCGCCGCCATTTCATTTCTTTACTGAGAAATTGTTGGTTGAATCTGTTTGGAAATTTCACTAAATTTTATCGGCAGCACAAAGAAAATTCAGTAAAATTTTCGGACAGCTTCGTTGAACAATTTCTCTGTAAAAAAATATAATGGCGGCGGAAATTTTTAAACGTCGCATGGCGCTTGTGATACTTTGCCTATGGAAGGTGACGATTTCCCTATTTGAGTCCGCGGTAAAGAATCGATTATCAAGGTGTTCGCTGCGAACACCCTGTTAATCGATCCTTTACCACAGGTTTCAATGGCAGATCAATCGATATATCGCAAAGCACGCCACGCTACTGTTCGTAACCGACAAGCACCTGGAGGCCGGAACCCAATCCGCATCCGTCGCCGAATTAATCAAAAGTCGAAAGTTTCGCTCCCGACACCCCCCCCCCCACA